ACTTGTGTAATTAGTGGAGAACCGAAGAGTTTTCGTTTTGGGGGGTGGGTGGGTGGGAGTCCGTCCGTTAGTCCGTCCGACTGACGGACAACTTCTCACTTCAAAAAAGAAGAAGAAATCTAGATCGCAAAATAATTAAACAAGCGAGTGCCTGTTTTTCCTGGCCAAGGACAGGTTCCTTGAACACAACACGAGCGTAACGTGTCTTCACGTGGTTATGTCTCGTCTGAAAGGAGTGTAGACTAGAGTGCTTACGGAGAGCACCGGAACGCCGCTCCAGCTCTTCAGATATTGCAGTACCCATAAGGAGCCGTACACATGCCACAGTGTTTGCGAGGCTGTGTCTTTAGTTGTAAGCACAGTGGCGATCTGTTGTTATTGGCATCTGGTTAGCTAGCTATGCTAACGAATTTAAAGAGCTTTTCTACAACCAGGTGGAAGAGAGCTCTCTCCTGAGAGGCTCAAATAACCTCAGCTCAGTGAGGTTAAGGCACACCTTGATATGATCATTATTATTAATGAGACATTAGAGACTAAATGAAAAACAGGTATAAAATACTATAAAAAATAACAAGAATAGAGTTTAAAAGGGGAGTGATTTGTAAAATATCCAAAAAGAAAAATCTGCTTCCAGTTCTGTTTCAAATGGGTGTTGAAAGATGTATCCATAGATCTCCTCATGTTGCTCTCATAGTGCACCAGATTGATGCTTTTAGAGGAGGTTAGGTCCCCCCCACTTAAATCATGTTCACATGGATACTAAATACATTTGCACACATCTTGTGTCCATATCTTTCTGTTTTGGTGCTCATGTGAGCTTAGTTTTTTTTAAGCAGAGGTTGATTTCAATAATTTGTACGGCCCACGGAGGATGTTGTAAAAATGTAAAGGAAAAAGGTTCCCCACCCCTGCTGTAAATAATAATAAAACCCTTGATTTATAACTTAACATCTCTGTCTCTATTGATCTGAGTATATTATAAAGAACAGTTCATTGAAGCATTATAGCACAGGCCTTTGTCAGATGGTATATTACGCTGTTTTTTTCCTGCTTCGAATAGTTCTCTCTTTTTTCACCATACCTGTGTTTGTATCACTGCAATGTGTTTCATCAGATGCTTAACTTTGCACTGAGTTAATGTGCGTTTGTTCCTCAGGAGATCCAGCAGAGCGGAGACTTCTTCATTCGGCCGGAGTCTAAAGCTGCGACTCTGGACACGTCTCAGTGGCCTCTGCTGCTCAAGGTGAGGGTCAGGTGATCAACAGGGAGTCAGGTGAGGGGGGTGGTGTCAGGGAGCAGGTAGTTTGGACTGTGTGTAGTTCAGGTAGTGTGTAGTTCAGGTAGTGTGTAGTTCAGGTAACGGAGCAGAGGAGCTCAGATCTGTGAAATGATGAAGCTGTTTATCCATTCGCTGAGCGGCCATCTTGTCGCAGTCACCCCCCCGCTCTCGTTCTGGGGGCGGGGCCTCTCCTCGTGGTGATGTCCTCGACTCGGCGTTCTGCCGGGTCGACCCGGATCCACGAGGAGAGACGACTCGACCCGAGCGCCGCGAAGACGAGTTGACTGCGCTGATCACAGCTGAGACTCATCAATAACAGCATAGAGGGGGGGCTTCTGGTGTAGGCATGTGATCCTGAATAACAGCATGTGGGGGGGGTGGTCTCAGCTGCAGAGGCTCTGTCTAAACTCTGGTTGTCTCCTGCAGAACTTTGATAAGCTGAACATCCGCACCGCTCACTACACGCCGCTGCCCAACGGCAGCAACCCTCTGAAGAGGAACATCCAGGACTATGTCAGGTAATGCTAAGCTAACAAGCTAACCTCATGCTAAGCTAACAAGCTAACTTCATGCTAAACTTTTTAACGTAAAGTCCAAAAATCATTATTTGGAGTTATTTTAAAACCTCCCCCGAGTTTCAAGTCTCTCCATGAGTAGCTTCAGTGGAGAGATGGAGGGACATGTTGCCCTCCAACAGAGCAATATGAATATATATGACATAAAACTGATAAGATAGAAAGTAAATGGAACATGATATATGAATAATTATCAAGATGCAAACAGATGAGTGTTTATAGATGTTTTACAGATTTCAGGTGCTTAGTAGTCTTATGGTCTGTTGGACGAAACTGTCCCTGAGGCTAACATGCTAACGTCCCCCCCCCCCAAACAGGACGGGCTTTATCAACCTGGACAAGCCGGCGAACCCTTCGTCCCACGAGGTGGTGGCGTGGATCCGGAGGATTCTCCGAGTGGAGAAGACGGGTCACAGCGGCACGCTCGACCCCAAAGTGACGGGCTGTCTGATCGTCTGCGTGGACAGAGCCACCCGGTTGGTCAAGTCTCAGCAGAGCGCAGGTATACAGTCAGGATGGTGTGTGTCGTGTTTAATGCCCGGCTGGCAGTGTGTCACAGTAAAGCAGCGGCCCCCCCTCACTACTCTCTCTGTGTGTTGCAGGGAAAGAGTATGTGGGAATCGTTCGGCTGCACAATGCCATCGAGAGCGAGCACACGCTGGCCCGGGTGAGAACCTTACAGTGTCTATAGAGAACATGTAGTCAGTGGATGTGAAGCCCTCTGATTGGCTGCCTGTCATGTGACTAACCCTCTTCTCTCTCCAGGGTCTGGAGTCTCTGACCGGAGCTTTGTTCCAGAGACCTCCTCTCATTGCTGCTGTTAAGCGACAACTGAGAGTCAGAACTGTGTACGAGAGCAAACTGATCGAGTACGACCCTGAGAGGAGGCTGGGTGAGAGATCAATACTTTATTATATAACCATTATATATAATGACTATACGGAGGAGGCTGGGGGAGATTAGAAGATGACCGTGCGATCAGCTTCAGACTGTAACCTCCCCCCCCCCCCC